ACACACCGAGTTTTGTAAGTTATTAGACTAAACTATAAAGTAACCACACTTGGACACTCGTGACAAACACACCGAGTTTTGTAAGTTATTAGACTAAACTATAAAGTAACCACACTTGGACACTCGTGACAAACACACCGAGTTTTGTTAAGTTATTAGACTAAACTATAAAGTAACCACATTAAGACACTCGTGACAAACACACCGAGTTTTGTATTGTATTAGACTAAATTATAAAGTAACCACAGGAGAGACGCCATCCCACATTTTCCAGAAGGATGGACGCCGTCCTCTTCCTTCCACTCAATAGTTTTTGAGAAAACGCCATTTTTATAAATGTGTTGCTAGGGTGAAGTCTTAGATAAGAAAAACACAGAAACTCTGAAAAACAGTTTTACACCTAATGCACAACGTTACATTTATGGACTGAAAGCAGCCGTCTTTTCCTGTATTTATAATATAACTTACCTTATACAGTGAAGTACGTTACAAAGGAGAACATTTCTACAAACTTCATCTTTGGAGACAGAATTGTTTAAAAAGTCTCGTACATAAAGTACCTTTTTTTACTTATAGGATATGTCAAACAATAGAAAAATTAAATAAATGGTTTTCTATATTTTAGTCGTTGTTTAGCCTTATTTATATTTTTAACTGTTTGTTATATCTTTTGTAAGCAATTCCCCCAATGGTCGGATAGTCATAAACCATTTTGTACGAAAAACAACTAACTTCACGTTCTGCTTTAAGTGCGCCACCTACAGTTGCGAACTGGAGTGTTTTATGGACCCAGAATTGTTTCATGTTTGTTTTTAAATATGTACTACCTTAAGTAAGTATTAAAATATCTAATATGAGAACTTGACTTATTGGTATAATGTGTTAGTTACACCACATATTTGTTGTGTACTTACTACATTATTTCAGCTTTTTTTTGTCACAGTCCAGTAAGAGTTTTAAGATTTGAAATGCATCTTTATGTCTTTTAGCACGTGCAGACTGGCCCAGGTGTCGCCGAGATATGTTATGAGGTGTATTTTGCTATGCATGACTGACGAATAATATGTTTAGTCTGGCTTATCTTTTAGTCTTATCCTAAGACTATTTAAGATATTTTCAACACATATCCTACACTCCGCCCTCTATACAAGAGAAAGAGAGAGAGAAGGAAAAGGTTTAATTATGCGAGAGATTAGTCAAAACGTGCTGTGAATATAAAGAACTTTATCACACCTTATTATTGTACAAATATGTTTCAATGTAAATTATTTGTTCTTTAGTTATAAACATGAAATGTAGGGGGCCAAAGTCTGGAACAGTAACTACATTCCCGTGTAACAATAAGACAAGCATGTCTCATTTAGATTTGCAAGTTTCTGACACTAGGTGTGAATTATTAAAGTTCGTTTATGTGCAGTTAAACACAAAGCTACACAATGGGCCATCTGTGCTCTGCTCACCACGGGTATCGAAACCCGGTTTCTAGCGTTGAAAGTCCGCAGATATACCGCTGTGAGGCGAATTATCAGTAATTATAGTTGTCATTTATATATATTAATACTTGAATTAGCAGATTTATATCAACAGGATGAATATTACGTAAACAATTAATATAATAAACAACAAAAAATCGGAGTGCTTTGTATTCGAGAAAACATTAATTAGAGTTTTAACGTAAATATTGTCCTATTTTTCGTTATCGCGTTCTATATATTAAACCTGAGTTCGAATCCCATCACTAAACATACTCGCCTTTTCAGCTGTGGGGGCATTGCAATGTGACAGTCAATTCCACTATTCGTTGGTAAAAAGAGTTGGCGGTGGGTGGTGATGACTGCTAAATTAGGGACGGCTAGCGCAGATAGCCCTCGTGTAGCTTTGCGCGAAATTCAAAACAAACAAACAAAGATCGGCTAAGGATTCTATAACGGAGTAAAATAATTTATTTACGATCATGCTTTGTCAGTTTGGATATTTTTAAAGCAACCAAACGCTGGACGTACAATAAGTAAGTTTATTTTAAAGACGGCGTAGTGCGTGTTTAAAAACTGTAAAATACAAACGATTTATTATTCAATTCCTTCGAATATACAACGAAAATATACAGACAAGTTCTAGTAATGTTTCATACTTGCTGATTTATTTATTCACCTCTTTATTAAATTAAATAACAGTATAATTATTTTACTCAAGGGCTATCTGCGCTAGCCGTCCCTAATTTTCACTGGTGAGCAAGAAGGAATTCAGTTGGTCAACAGCATTCACAGCCAGCATTTGGGCTACTCATGTCAGACTGAATAGTGGGACTTGACCGTCACCCTTGTAACGCACCTGAAGATCCATAGTCTGGTAAGATATGTAAAGTTTGTTTGTAATTAAGCAGCTATTACACTGTCTACAATGAAAATACTGTGTTTATTACGCTGTCTACAATGAAAATACTGTTTATTAGACTGTTTACAAAGAAAATACTGTGTTTATCACGCTGTCTACAATGAAAATACTGTGTTTATTACGCTGTCTACAATGAAAATACTGTGGTAAACAGTGTAATAAATTGTAGACAAGTGTAATAAACAGTATTTTCACTGTAGACAGTGTAATAAACACAGTATTTTCATTGTAGACAGCGTAATAAACACAGTATTTTCATTGTGGACGAGTGTAATAAACACAGTATTTTCATTGTAGACAAGTGTAATAAACACAGTATTTTCATTGTAGACAGCGTAATAAACAGTATTTTCATTGTAGACAGCGTAATAAACACAGTATTTTCATTGTAGATAGTGTAATAAACACAGTATTTTCTTTTGTTTATTACACTGTCTACAGTGAAAATACTGTGTTTATTACACTGTCTACATAATACTAATAAAACGAAACGTAGTTTTACGTTTCGGATGTTAATCTTTGCAGTGGATGGTTTTGTATTGTGAACAAATTAAAACATGAGGCTCCAAGCATCACACACAATCTACAATTTATGCATTCTTTATTAAATTATAATATTTTCTCCCAAATGGCCGCCAGACACAGAATATTTACATAATTATTCCACTCAAATTTACACTCTTGATATTTACAATCTTATCCAATTTTTTGTAACTCATGGCTTTGCAGTTGAATATCAAGTGGGACACATTTATCGATTAAACTCCGTTAAGAATATAAATAGTGATTACCCTGACGAAAAGCTCGTTAAAAACTGAGCAGAAACGTGACATCACGCTTTCTTTGCTTTGTTATTAAAAAGTAAATATCCTTCCAGTTAGTAGCACCTTTTCATCTCAGTTGTTGAACTAAATAGTAGGTCTTCATAATTGAACACCAACTTTTCGAGTTTAAGAAACCATTTTTGAAGTATCTAATAAACGAGCAATAAAAATACCACGAAGCTCACCACCAGAAGAAGTTTTCTCAAAACAGATTGTATTTTGGTTTTCATGACAAAGCTATTAATATATATTTAATTTTGAACTGTCAATCAGAGGACAGGTAACCGGCTGCCAACACCTATCTCCAGCTTTTGGGCTGCTCTTTTACCAACGAATAGGGCAAGTATATTTGGCACCGAGTTTCGATCCTGCAACTTGCGAGTCCAGCCTCCTAACTACCAGGTAATGCCAGGCCCTCAAACATAATTATATTACTTAAGAATGCCTTTTACATTCTCTAAATCCCATTCAGCCATTCAGTATGATTGGATTAAACCTTTGATAAATAATATTTTTTCTTATTGTATCTTTTATACTAAAGTCGTGTTTATGACACCATAATTGTTATTAAAATTGTATATTATTAAAGAACTTTATTTGGTAGTTGAAAAACGATCGTCCCATTAAATGTAAGAAGACGTTTCTGCAAAGCTTCTGGGTTTTTATTCTTCATCAGTATAAACACCGTTCATAGCTCTCAATATTGGCGAATTAATTATAATTTCAGTGCTAGACCTTTCTAGAATTGGTCGGCTGGATCTTTCTAAATAATTTCCTTGTTCAGCACCTAAGACCCCTTCATTGGACAAAGACTGGTCGTATAATTTGTCCGCGTTACCAATAACGAGATCGACACCTCTCTCGATATATTCAGGAGAATATATATACTTGGAGGTTGAACGTTCCAAGATTGAATACTGCGTGGAGGTTCGATGGCTTGGCACAGTTGGGACCTCTTCAAGAAATTCAGAGGTCGACCTTTCACCAACACTACGCGATGTTCTGTACGTACAGCCAGTGTCCACACTCCATAGAGATTCTCTGTCATCGCGAGCGAAGTCCACGTCTATTTCGGTCATAGAACGAACGTCCAGACCCTTAACCGATCCTGACCTGGAGGTACGTCTAGAACGAACACTTTCTGGGGACTTTCCTAGGCGGGATGGGTCCCCGATAATCTCGTGAACTGGCGGAAGAGAGCTTTTGCGACTGCGTGGCTGTTCTTGATCACTCCTCTTTCTGTATCGTGGTGATCTCACATCTGGTGAGGGTTGCTGATGAATAGAAGGTTTAGGATAGTCAGGAGTCGTTAGAATTCGAATAATCACGTGCCACTTGTTTGGAGTATACATCTTCTTATAACGCTCATCTTGGCTGATTCGAACAATATCATCAGTTGTGGTGGCTTCTTGAATGAGAGAACGGAATGTCGAGTCTGTGCTGACTACAGCCTTCCACTTTTCTTTGTCTTCTTTAGTTAACTTATGGACACCTTCTGCTGGTGGAGGATGAAGCACCCTAAATATTATATCCCAGTTTGGAGGGTATATATTTGTCTCTGGTGGTAGGGGAGGTGAGTTCGAATGTATTTGAACTGGTGGTTCTGTAACTGTACTCTCAGCATCTCTAAACTTTTCACTAACTTCAGAGAAAGTATCCCATGTCTTACCTGGTGCTGATTCTTCAGGCGGTTCGGATTGGTAATGGGGTATGGTTACATCCCAAGCAGAAGGTGACTTCACTTGTTGTTCCATTGTACCTTTCTTATGCCTGGTGACACGTTCTGTTGCGTGGGTTTCGGTAAGAGTAGTAAGATAAACATCATCAATATTTTGGACAGTGAATTTTGGAACATGAGAAGCAGGTACCAAAGCCTTTCCCCTTGGTGTTTCTGTATCTGATTCCTGATGTGGTATTATTGATTGACTCTTTCGGGTAGTATCCTCTTGAATATCAATAGTCTTTTGAGTGTCCAGGTAGTAGTCTGATAAAGTTGCAACGTGTGTTTTAGGCTTACGAATATATGGCTTGACGGGAGATTCGATTTCGAATTCAGAATGAGACCTGTTGTCATTGTCAGGGATACTACCATAAAGGGAAGGGACATAAGATGATACAGCAGGCGGTCCACGTTCTGGCACTGATTCTATCATCTCAGTGTATGATCGGTTGTCATTATCAGGGATACTACCATAAAGGAAGGGGACATAAGACGATACAGAAGGTGGTCCACATTCTGGCACTGATTTTATCATCTCAGTGTGTGATCGGTTGTCATTATCAGGGATACTACCATAAAGGGAAGGGACATAAGACAATACAGAAGGCGGTCCACGTTCTGGCACTGATTCTATCATCTCAGTGTGCGATTGGTTGTCATTGTCAGAGATACTACCATATAATGAAGGAGAATATGACGATACGGACGGAGTTTTTCGCCTAGTTTTGGTGTACACAGTACCGTCGACTTCTCGTTCTTCACGTGCCATAGCCATTCCATCGACTCTTTCATCCCACATGTGTGTATGCAGGTAATCTTGTTCGTTGATAGTAGTCAGCATTTGTTGCTTAGTTTCACGTGGTCTAGCTTCTCTGCAGTGTATCATCTTTGCATCACGTTTGATTGTTGTTGGAATTGGGACAGAAGAAACACTCTGGGCTCTCTCTGTGTCTTCGGGATAGCTAGATCTTTCACTGAAATCACCAGAAATAAACGCCATATGATAGCCTTGTATGTTGCTGTTGTTAATTAATCCGTTTCTATGCATATAGTCTTCCTCTTCCATAATAGGAGCAGAAGGAGATTCACTTGGGTAGTCTGAGGGAATAGTTTCGATCACTTCTCGTGACCCACGGTGAGACGATACTGACGGTAGCAAAGCAGCTTCCGACCCAGATGGCGATAAGCTTGGTACAACACGTGGTATTGTCATTGGTTCGATAACAGGCAGAAAGGTGGCGCCACTGAGCCTGGTGATTACACTACCAGAAGTAGAAGACAAAGCTTTCTTCTGTCGCACCACCTTGATGTTTCTCTTCTTCAAACAGTAGTAGGCGACACCAACACCAAGCAACAGAAGTGTTAGAAATAACAGAGCACAAATTATCAACAACAACTCAACTTCTGTAAGCTTGGGTGGAACAACAATAGGGGCGATGGGCGCAGGTTCCAACCTATAATAAATCATACACATGACTAATCACAATTTGAGTTAAACATATGTAATAGAAAATACTTAAAAATCGTCTCTATGTAGTTCGGAATTTAAAGTATTCTCAAACATGAATGAAGTAATGTATAACCGAAACGTTACATGATTTATTGTTAATAAACACTTCAAGGTATTTTTTAAACGGTATTAAATGCATAACCGAAACGTTACATAATTTATTGTTAATAAACTCTTCAATGTATTCTTTAAACGGTATTAAAATAATGTATAATCGTATATTTTTGTGCATCACAGATCCCCCTACTTACAATATGAAATTCTAAGAACTTATGAGTGAAAGCAAGGTTAAGTGACTTTTCATAGAACATGCGTGATATTTGTTAAGATAGTCTTATTATCCCTTGAAATTTATTTTATACACAATAAACATATGAACATAACGTTGCACAAACGTATCATATAATCATGTCTATTATATATATATATATATGTATGTATGTGCGTTGTGTGTCTATGTGTTTCAAATCTGAAAACAACAAAAACTAAAACATTATTATTGCAAACTCGATCTTATTAGATTAGAAGCGTAAGATAGCTTAACCCACAAGTCCGGAAAGTGTTGAATAGAGTATTTATCAACTGTATTTTTCATAACACTTGTATAAAAATTCATACCAAAGACTGTACTAACTACTTTTTGCAGTAGCATGTTCTATTGTTAGTGTTACTTTACTACAAGTTTTAAAATGTGTTATTCTTACAGCCTAGTGTAACTGATAGTGATATAGTGTATTAATGAATTAATTGTAGTGATCGTATGAGGCTGTTGGATACTGTATATTGGATGATTTGTACTTTAGTGAGTTTTACTATTCAGATCAT